ACAAAACTTATATATTAACTGTTTATAGCAGCATTATTCATAGTAGCCAAAAAGTAGAAACAGCCGAAATATCCATCTGCTGATAGGTGGATAATATAATTTAGCAATAAAAAGGAATGAGGTACAGTTGGCCTTCTATATCTGTGGATTGAGCCCACCGTGAATGAAAAGTACTCTGGAAAATAATGTAACCTAATATGTATCCTCGTGTTAACCTCCACCACGCCACCCCCAAAAAAGTACTCTGGAAAAATGTCGCACCTGTGTTGAACATGTACAGATTGTTTGCTTGTCATTGTTCCCTAAACAATACAGCATAACAAGTATTTACGTAACATTTACATTGTATTTAGGTATTACAGTAGAACCTCCATAGTTGACTACCTCCTTATATTGACCACCTCCTTAAGTTGACCTAATTTTTATGGATCAGACATGCACCACATATACATATTGGTATGGTAGGCCTAGTTCCTTTGTTGAGCACCTCTGTTATAGTCCTTTTGAGTGGTCAACTTGTAGGAAGTCCTACTGTATAAGTAATCTGAGATGATTTAAAGTATATGAGAACATATGCATAGGTTATATGCAAATATTATATCATTTTATATTGAGGACTTGAACATCCATGGATTTTGGTATCTTAGTTTGTGTTTTTACAGAGGAATACCTGAGGCTCAGTAATTTATAAAGAAAACAGATTTGTCTCATGGTTGTGCAGGCTGTACATGGACTATAGCACCACTATCTGCTTCTGATGCAGGTCTCAGGCTACTTCCACTCAGGGAAGAAGGTGAAAAGCAGCTGGTGTGAAGAGATCACGTTGTATGAGAGGAAGCACAAGAGAGTGAGAGGGGACGTGGAGGCCTTTTTTCTTTTTTTTTTTAACAACCAGCTCTCATGGGAACCACCTCCTTACCACCAGGAAGGGCATTCATGAAGGTTCTGCTCATATGACCCAAACAGCTGCCATAGGTCCCACCTCCAACACTGGGGATCAAATTTCCTTTTTCCTTTTGGAGAGAATCTCATCTTGTCACCCTTGGTAGAGTGGCATGATGTTATAACTCAACAGCAAACTCAAACTCCTGGGCTCAAGTGATCCTCCTGCCTCAGCCACCCACCTGAGACTACAGGTGCCTGCCACAACACCTGGCTATTTTTAGAGATGGAGTCTCTCTCTTGCTCAGGCTAGTCTCAAACTCCTGAGTTCAAGCAATCCACCTGCCTTAGCCTCCCAGAGTGCTAGGATTACAGGAGTGAGCCACCTCGCCCAGCCTGGAGATCACATTTCAGCATGAGGTTTGGAGGAGGCGCGCATTAAGACTATAGCAGCATCCAGAGAGATCTGAAAGCAATCCCTTATAAATACCAAGGGACAACTGTACTAAATAATACAAGCCACAATATGGATGAACCTTAAAAACATTATGCTAAATAAAAGAAGACAGTCAAAAAATACTGTATACTGTATGAGTCCATTTACCATAGATCCTCGTTGTTTGTGGATTCTATATTTTTGAATTGGCCTCTTCACTAAAATTTATTTGTAATCCCAAATCAGTACTCCCAGCACTTTTATAGTCATTTGCGGTTGTACATAGAGTAGGGAATGATTTCAGTTGTCTCTCAGCTGAAGATGAACAAAGAACACCCTGGCTGCTTATTTCAGCTTTCATGCTGCAAACAGGTGTCCTTTTCATAGTCCTATTTAGTGCCACTTTTTCACATTTTTGATGATTTTGCTTTTGAATATGACCTCCAGCCATAGTGATAGAATGCTGTTTTGTATTCCCAGGCACGAGACGGATGGGACATACTTTACAGAGGGAATGTGGGTGTTAGATAGGCTTTGTTCAAGTGCAGTTTATAGTGCTGTTGCCCATGGGTTAATGAGTTCATATTGTTAGTGAGTTAATAATATACATTAAATAAAATGTCTTTAAACAGAAACACACCTCAACAAGTATATGTATTGATTGGTTGATGAAAATGTGACCACAGACTTGCAGGAACCCAAGTTTTTATTTCCCCTGGGAGCAGTGATTCAGTATTTGCTAATTCTGAGTTCACAGTGACATTCTTGAACATAACTATCTTAAATAACCAGAATCGAATACATGTGAAATATCTAGAATAGACAGACTTATAGAGACAGAAAGTACATTAGTAGTTGCCAAGGATTAGGGATGAGGTGATAAAAATGTTCTATAATTAATTATAGGGTAGTTGCACACCTCTGTGATTATACTACAGTTTATTGAATGTTAAGCTTTAAAATATGGAAGGTGAATTTTATCTCAGTAAACCTGTTTAAATGCATTTGAGGGAAATGGATAAGTTTTGAATATCAATTAGATAATATATTTTCAAACATGAGATAGTGGTATTATGGTTTTGTATGAGATGTCTTTATTAGGAAATGCATGTTGAGGTATTTACGGGGTAATATATGGGATGAAGCAAGGTATAATTTAAAAGTAGAAAAGATGAATAGTCCTATAACTTTTAAATCAGTACATGTCAAAATATTTGCATTGATGACTAATTTATAAAATACAGTAAAAACATAGCAGTATCAAGTTATTTAAATACTTCTGTACTTTTCTCTTTTTAGGCAGATACAAATGGTTTACAAACTAGTACTGGTCCACAGACCACAGTTTGAGTGGCATGGTACAAAAAGAAATTGAATCCATAATTAAAATCTTTCCCACTAAGAGAATTACAGCTCTATATGAATTCACTGGTGAATTTTATAAATGTTTAAGGAAGAAATAATTATACAATCTTTTCCAGAATATAGAAAGGGAAGAAATACTCCCCGATTCTTTTGAAGAGGCCAGAATAACCCTGAATTAGCCCAGGATAACGCTAATTAGGCAAATCTGACAAAGATATTGTATAGTAAAAAGTTACAGGATATTCTTGCCTATGAACTTAGATACAAAAAATCTTCAACCAGATACTGTATGGCAAACCAAATCCAGCAATATTTTGTGGCCTACTTAGGTTTATTCAGAGTTTAAGCAGGATAGCTTTAACATGTAAAGACTAGTGTCATTTGTCCTTTTAAGAGAATGAAGAAGAGACATCATATAATCATCCTGGTATGTGCTAAGAAATCATTTGATAAGATTCATTCATTTTTTGGTAAAAATTTTTAGCAAATAGCAATAGAAAAGGAATTACTACATTTATAGCAAACCTATAGAAAAAATAATAGTTCATAATAACATTGAAATTTTGCCTTTTGAGATCAGAAATAAGGCAAGGATGCCTTCTATCACTTCTTGACAAAGTACAATACCTTAATAATTAAAGCTGTAAAACTGAAGAAATAAATAAACCTATTGTAACTGCAAATCCTTAAGATTCTAGAACAGGGGTCCTCAAACTTTTTAAACAGGGGGCTAATTCACTGTCCCTCAGACCGTTGGAATGCCTGACTGTGGGCCCCGGGATGAGTTGGCTGCTAAGCAAGACAGGCAGTGGCGGCAAAAACACCTGGTGGGTCAGATAAATGTCCTGGGCACGGGCTATAGTTTGAGGACACCTGTTGTAGAATATCCAAAAAGAGGATCCAGGCTGGGCACCATGGCTCACATCTGTAATCATAGCACTCTGGGAAGCTGACATGGGTTGATTGCTTAAGCCCAGGAGTTCAAGACCAGCTTGAGTAAGAGCAAGACCCTGTCTCCACTAAAAATAGAAAAACTAGCCAGGTGTAGTGGCACACGCCTTGTAGTCCCAGCTACTCAGGAGGCTAAAGGAAGAGGATTGCTCAAGCCCGAGTTTGAGGTTGCTGTGAGCTGTTATGCCATGGCACTCTCCCCAGGGTGACAGAGTGAGACTCAAAAAACAAAAAACATATCCAGAACAAGATTGCTGGATCTAAGGGCCGTATACCAAAAAAGTATTTATACATAACAACAATAAAGTAATTTTAGAAAGACACCATTTACCATGGCATCGAAAAATTATATGTAGAATAAATCTAAAGAAAATCCTCTACATGATAAACTATAAAACATTACTGCAACTTAATAAAGTTATTTTTTAAACATTGAGATAAACCTTTAAAGCTCTAAATAAATGGAGCATTTATTACATTTGTGGATTGAAACTGTCAGTATTATAAAGATGTTGATTTATTTCAAATCTGTAGATTCAATGTAATCTCAAACAGAATGTCAAAAAGGCGGCATGGGGAAAGCAGGGTTTAAAACTTGAATCTCTGATTGTAAAATTTATGTGGAAACACAAAGGGTCAAATAGCTAAGACACTCTTGAAGAGGAAGAACAAATGTGGATGGACTTATTTTATTAGATATTAAGACCTCTGATAAAACTATAATAATTAAGATAGTGCCACTTAGGCACAAGAATGAACAAAAACCTAATTATAACTAACCTTGAGAAAATGAACAAGTGTCTTTAAAAAAGAAACCTCAAATTGGAGAAAATACAGTCATGCACTGTATAAGGATCTTCAGTCAACAACATCATATATGGCATTGGTCCCTTAAATTATATGTTGTATTTTTACTGTTTAGATGCATAGAAACTTAACTGTAACTGTTACAGTTGCCTACAGTATTCAGTACAGTAACATGTTATACAGATTGTAGCCTAGAGCAATAAGCTATACCATATAGCCTAGGTGTGCAGTAGGCTATACCATCTGAGTTTGTGTAAGTACACTGTCTGATCACACAGTGATAAAATTGCCTAACAGCACATTTCTCATAACGTATCCTCACCATTGACATGTGACTGTTCTAGTAATATCAGGGTAAGTAAGAGTTCAGTCAGCTATTTTATCTTACTCGTTTTGTCTTAACAATGAGATTCTAAGCATCTGAGGCTGAGACTATTTCGAACTCAGAACTTCGTCAGCAGAATCTTTCATAGCAGTAGGTGTGTAGGAGGGTTAATAGTTACTCTGAATTGAATTCATTGTGGCATAAGTAACTATTTTAAATATTTTTTGGTTTTAGATCTGCTGATTTGGGTCCTACTTTAGTGACAAGACCTGGACAACCAACACTTACCAGAGTGCCCCCACCTATCCTTCCAAGGCCATCGCAGCAGACAGGAAGCAG